CACAGCCCAAAATGTTTTGGGTTTGATTCCCTGTCGGGGCACATACCTAGGTTGTAGGTTCGATCCCCGATCAGGGTACACACAGGAGGCAACCAATCAATGTTTCTCTCTTTCTCTCTTTCTCCACACCCCCACTATTCCTCTCTAAAAATCAATAAACATATCCTCAGCTGAGGATTAAAAAGAAAGGAGAAAGTGTGACAGGACGCTGTGGGCAACACAGAGTGTGGCCATCTCACAGGAGCTCTGTGCACTCACTCTGAACATAGCAGAACCTGCCTTCCCTCTCCATTCGTGTACAGAACCGGGGGGTCGGGGCTGTGTGTGTAACAACTCAAGCAGCTAATGTGGTGAATCCATCTTTCCTCCTGCAACTTTGAAATGTCGTTTTGTGCTCCACCCCCAAATATTTAAAATGAGGTCATTCACCACAAGGTTTCTGGAATATCTGAAATGCTTGTATACACCAAACAGAGTCTCACAGACCATGTACTTAGTCTGAAGCATAAACACATTTCAATTTGGGATGTTACTAATCATTATTAGTCATCAGTGGCTAAAAATATTCATCAAAAATTATTTGGCTTCACAAGCAGTGCATTTTAATTACAGCAAATTGCCTGCAAACAACAGACAGTCTCAATTATAAAGTGACATAAAATTAGAAGGTATATTTTATAAAGTTCCTTGATGAGGCTCAGCCCCATGACTCTCAGGGAAGCTCCCACAAATTCCAACAACATGACCTCCAGTAACTCCCCTGGTTCCCAACAGTAGCATCCAGGCTGGAGAAAACAAGGGAATGAAAGTATCACAGAATGAAAGGATCTAGACCAAAAAGAGATCGTGAATTATCAAACTGAATATAGGAACATGAGAAGGGTCACTAGGGACATTAAAGCTAAATCCATTTAATATAGTTGCCCACTCCTTCTTAACCAAAGTTAAATTTTCACCAGGGCAAACTTCTCATACAGAGCCCAAACACCTAACAGTTTATCCTACCTCTGCCCAGCCCATAATCTAACTCAAGACAAATAAAAATTTCACTGTTGCCCGGACAGTGTTTTTCTGTCCCAACATTCCCCCCATTTGGAAAGCTCCTTCCCTCTTCTCAGTCTCTGCCTAGTAAAATTCTATCCCATCTTTCCAGGCATCTCCTCCTTAAGCTTGTTCCGATTCCCAAGTGAGGTCATCTCCTCCTTTTTCATAGCGTTGTTTTACTCTTTTCTGTCATTTGTCTTATTCTAGTTGGATCCCTGTCATATGCAGTTAACATCCTTGAAGATAGATTAAGTTCTTACTCATCTTCATTAGGCTGTGGTAGCCTGGCCAGGCCTGCCAAGCTCACTCTCCTAGTCCTTGAACCAACAAACTGGTCATCAGTACATAGCTTCAGCATGCCTACACATGTGTAATGCCTACTCATTCTTCCATAACCTGCAATGAAGCAAGTGTAGCTGCTGGTGGAGTAGGGTATCTTACTTGGAATTTGTTTTTTAGACCCAGGAGGCAGAGCTTATCAAAGAAAGCTTTTACAATTATATGGGGGTAACCATGCTGTTGTTTGAATGTATGAGCTAGTGAACTCCCATGCAGGGCATCTTGGGAGCTGGTAGAATACAATGTCTCCAGCCAAGCTCACCAGACATCCTCTGGCCTTTAAGCAAAAGGTACATCTCCCCATAGTTTTAGCTAAAAATTTGTCTTTAGCACTTATCACAAATTCTAAAACTGTAAGATCATGTGTCAAAGTTTCCATATTTCCCAAACATCCAGGCCAGTCATCCTCATGCAGCATAATTTTCCTAAGATGAACTCAAAAGTGCTGAAATTTATTTTAAATTTATTTTTTTCTCAAACAGGATAGTCTTCTGACATCCTCAAAATTACTAATACCATGTATAAGATGGTGTAAGTTTAATATACAATTAATCTTCCATGAGCTATTGCTGCATTCACTCACATTATTGAGAAAAACCAGAGAAACCATGACATTTATTACATTCATCAATTTACTATGAGAATTTAATTCCTTGGCAAAAAGTAAAGCAACTTCTCTGAATTTAAGTAATATTTGTCTCTTGCCTACTTTTTATTTTTTTAATATTTTATTTATTTACTTTTAGAGAAGGAGAAGGAGGGGGAAAGAAAGGGAGAAAAACATCAATGTGTGGTTGCCTCTTGTGCACCACCAATTGGGGACCTGACCTGGCCCACAACCCAGGCATGTACCCTGACTGGGAATACAAACCAGCAACCTTTTGGTTTGCAAACCAACACTTAATCCACTGAGCCACATTAGCCAGGACTCTTGCCTACTCTTTAAAACAAAGATCACTGACTTTAAAACTACTTTTGAATGCTTCAAGTAAAAAAAAGAAAAGATTATATAAGCAAAAGGGAAAATCCAAAACAAAGTTCAAGAAAAAAACTCTAGAATTTCACAAGTAGATAACGAAGCTTTAGTTCCCACTTGTAAAATAGGATACTATTACCCTAGGAAATATTTTAAACCTTAGAACCAGTAGCTATAAGAGAGGTTTTCAATTACTTTGAAGTAAATATAAATAATAATTATAAAAATTGATATCAAATATGTAATATATACTTATAAAATAAAATATAAAGTAAAAAATATATATAATCAGTTAATGTCTCCAATTGAAGAGTTTACTGCAGAAGACATAAACCATCTTGAGTATGCAGGTAAATGTGGTATCAAACTGGTGGAGTTAGTTCTTTCATAAGTACTGAATTTCTAAAGATGACAATCCAGTATCTAGAATAAGAGGAAAATAATTAATAAATTTTGTCTGTCCTGCACTAAAACTTAAATGATCAAAAAAGACAAAGTGGCTAAAAGCAGAAACCACCAGAGAAACATAAATACTGAACAAAAGGTACAAAGTGGGGGTGAGAGCGAAGCAGTTTTATCTGGAAAGAAAACATTCAGGAACATATATATTTTATATATTCACTTATTCATTTGTATGTGCATGGGGTCAAAGAAAAAATTATTTCTCTAAACACAAAGTTGAGGAAGAACATTTGGGCTTCTGAACAAGCAGAGTAATGAAATATAAACTGTGGATACACACATTCTTAAGAACAAGAAAAGTGGTCATTAGAACAAAAAAAATTTTTCATTAAAACATTGACATCAGAGAGGAGTGAAATTAGATGTGAGAAGAGCAGAGATATCAATAGAAAAAGAAAAAAAAACCAGCATCTATGAAATGCAATGGTAAGAACATCATACAAAATAAGGAAAAAAAGAGGAAATATTTTTTTAAAAAACTTAAAAGATTGTAACCTTTGGCTATCTTAGGCAATGCACTCCTGGGGACTTCCTCTATTTACTCTGCATGTATTTTAACCCAGATAATTATAATACAATTTGACTTAGAAATTTTTGGAAAAAACTTTTGCTCTGGCTGGTGTGGCTCAGCGGACTGAGCTCCTGCCTGAGAACCAAAAAGTCACAGTTTCCTTTCCCAGTCAGGGCACATGCCTGGGTTGCTGGCCAGGTTCCCCAGCTGGGAAGGAGTAAAAGGCAACCAATTGATGTATCTCTTGCACACTGATGTTTCTCTCCCTCTCTTCCCCTGGCTCTAAAACATACATAAATAAATAAATGCATACATAAGTAAATAAGTAACTATGACAATACAGGGAGCTAAGTGCAATCCTATTAAGTGCAAAGATAGCCACTGAGTATATGACAGTATAGAGGAAATGAACCCACTGGGTGGATTGTGAAGTCTTCCTAGAGGAGGTGACAGGAGCTGAATATAAAGGAGAAACAGGGCAATAATAATTGTATTTCTTGTCCCTGTGGTAAGGAAAACAGGAACCAAGTTCGGATCCATCTTTGCGTTCCCAGCACCCAGAACTCTGCCCTGATCCAGAGAAGCTTGATAAATATTGGTAGGATTATAACGAATTAAAAGGAAAGGAGGCATTTCAGCACATAAACACGAGTTTAATTAATAGCCTTTGGGACCTCCACAAAGAAGAAATAACCAAACGGAATCCATCTCGGAGATTTAAAAAAGCGACACACCAGGCGACTAGGAGTGCTGTTTCTGCACGATCGGGGTACAGTGCCCTGACACCCCGAGTCCAGGGCGATGCCAGCACAGGGGCGAAGGTCGAAAGAAGGGAGGTAGAGAGGGTTCTCGGTCTACTCACGCCGGGGCAGCCGCCGGCTCTTCCAGCTGGATATCCGCTGGGAAAGGCACCCTCAAACCTGCCGCTCCAAAAAAACAAAGTTGAAAATTCGAGGAGATTGGGGGCAGAGCGGGGGCGATGGCCTCTGGGGTAGGCGTCCGGCATGTGTGGGTGCTGAGTTCCCCCTGTGCGCCACCTCCACTTCAGAGAATCGCCGCTCACGCAACCATCTTTAAAAATCCTGCAAAGGTCAGGCTGTTTTCGGGAGTAGTAGACTCTCCCCGGCGCCCGAGGAGGTTACCTGCAGCAGATGGAAATTAAGTGGGCGCCGCTGCTGCGCCCCACCGAGCCCCTGAGGGCCCAGGCGAGTGGGGCCGGGGCGTCTCTAACAAAAACATACTTTCGTTCCAGCTTCCGGTAGGCTCCTGACAATGGTTAAAAAACAAAACTAAAAACCAGCCCGGGATTCCCCAGGGCGCAAGTGGCACCCAGTTGCTGCGGATCTGCCGGTGGATTCACCTAAGAAAGCCGGTTATGTAAGACTGGGTGTAAAAATAGTTAAAGGAAGAGCAAATGTCAGATACAAACAAGAGGAAACATGAAGTCTTCTAAAACGCCATTTTAACCGAACATCCAGCCTACAAGCTGTAAACAACACAAGTGTTAGCATAAAAACTGTAAAGTCCAGTAAGGCAAACAAGTTTTGGGTTTGTTCGTTCGTTTGTTTTGGAGTTGGGTAAAGTTTTTTGCTCTTCTTTCCACTGAAACTGTTCCTAAGATTATGTAAACCACCAGAGGGAAAATACCCAGAAGTCTGTTCCTCTTACCCGAAATCTCTCACTTAAGTAAAGCAGGTTGGGCCAGTCAGAGCCTGTTTGACTGATTTCAGACTATCCAGACACGCCCGTCGTCCAAAATGCTTGAGGCAGGCTATCGCCCTATTAGCCCTTCCTCTCCTTAACTAAACAAATTTCAAAGTCAACAAATGAAAATGTTCTCGAGAGCTTTCAGCGGCCTTGAACTTACTGTCGGTCCCTTTAACTTTCTGTTCCTAGAGCCAAAAACTTAGTCTGAATTTCAGTGGCCTTCGTTCTGTTGCAACCCACTGTTAATATTTGAAAGAACACGCCGTGTTTCCAAATCCAGATACCATGAAGCAAGAACATCTTGAAATCAAGTTTTATCCGAGGCTTTACAAAAATCTCATAACGCCGAACTTTCCTAGGACAACTTTCTCTTGCAATTTTCCAAAATACCACTATTACACTGCTTTGAGACACTTCAGGCTATTTCAAGAGAGTGAAAATTCCGGCCAGGCCCCGCTGCTCCTTCACATAAACGCAGGTTGGCGCACATATTACTGCAGGAAGTCTTTGTCAACTTCTCGAAAGGAAAACGACCAAATCTTTTGAACAGTTCCCCCAGGGATTGAGCAACGCTCAAAACGATCATAAGCAAAGTTTACAGGATGCTGGCGAACTGCCACCAAAACTTGCGGCCTGTTTCTGCTTCAGTGGGCCCAGGATTACTTGGTCGGGTGGATCGGGCGAACCTCCCCGGGATCCCGACAGCCTCGGGCAGCCCATCTGAAAACCGGAGGTGCGGGGAGAGCCAGGCAAGGTGCGGGGAGAGCCCAGCAAGGTGCGGGAGCCGGGGCGGAGTGGGCGGGGGCGGAGGGGGGACTCCGCCCCCGCCAGTGCCCAGGGGCAAACCAGAGATAAGGAATGTGCGGGACTGAGTCATCTGCCAGAAGGCCCACCCCTCTCCAGACCCTTGCCCGGCACCCCACCCCACTTCACCCCAGCCCAGGGCCAGTTCAGGAAGTGCGAGTTTGGAGAGCTTGGCGAGCGACACGACAGGGGCAAGCGGGGCCCAGGGTAGGCGACACTGACACTAAAACCTAAAATTAGGTCTGAGAGTCTGAGGAGGGTTGGAGCTGCGGGTTGAGAGGGGCCACGTACCGTTCTGCCTGCCACAGTATGTCCTACCGCGTTGCGAGCTTTCAGGATTCCTTACCCCGGAAGCTTGAGAAGCACAGCAACAAAACAAAACCGAAAAAAAAAAGCGAAACCCTTGTGCAGACGTGGCAGCACGCAATGCCCACATCGTCGTTATGCGGTGGTCTATACTTTAATATTCATGCATCTTCCACTTTAAGTCACTGAAAAAAGAAAAGCAAACTAAACCTAAAGCAGGTAGAAGAAAGTAAATAATGAAGATTAAAGTGGAGATTAATGAAACATAGAAGAGAAAAGCAATAGAGAAAATCAATTAAACCCAAAGCTGATTTTTTTTTCAAAAGGGGAACAAAATTATGGCCTTTAACTAGATTGACCAAGTAGGGTGGGAAGAGACTCAAATTACCAGAGTCAGAAATGAAAGATGGGACATTACTACTAATCCTACAGAAATAAAAAGAATTACAAAAGAACACTATGAATAATTGTGCACCAACAAATTAGATAACCTAGATGAAATGGACACCAGCTACCAAAACTGACTCAAAAAGATATGGACAATATGAGTGCACCTATAAAATAGTGAAGAGATTGAATTAGTAGTCAAAAATCTACCCACAAAGAAAAACCCACCCAGATAGTCACTTGTGAATTCTATTTTTAAAATTTTAAGAAAAAATTAAATCCAATTTTTCAAAAGGTCTTCCAAAAAACAGAAGAGGAGTTTATTAGGGTTACCATAATAAAATACCGTAGACTAGGTGGCTTAAACAACAGAAATGTATTTCTCAGTTACGGATGCTAGATGTCCAAAATCAAGTCATCATCCAGTTTGGTTTCTCCTGAGGCTTCTCTCCTTGGATTGCCAATGGCAACTTCCTTCTGTGTCTTCGTGTGGTCTCTCCTCTGTATGCGCACATTTAGTGTCTTTGAGTGTATCCAAATGTCCTTGTCTTGTAAGGACACCAGTCAGATTGGATTGAGCCATCCTAGTAAGCTCATTTTAACTTCATCGTCTCTTTAAAGGCCTCATCTTTAAATACAGTAACATTCTGAGGTACTTGGGGTTAGGGTTTCAACCTATGAATCTGGTGGGGGCAGTGGTGCAAAATTCAGCCCAGAACAAGGAGGGTACACTTCCCAACTCAGTTTATGAGGCCTTGTTATCATGATACCAAACCCAGACAAAGACATCACAGGCAAAGAAAACTACAGTAGACCAATTATCTTAAGCATACGGATGCAAATGTTCTCAATAAAATACTAGTAAGCCAAATCCAGCAATATGTAGAAATAATTATACGTCATGACCAAGTGAAATTTATCCCTGGAGTGCAAGATTGGTTTAACATCTGACTATCAATTACTGCTGTACATCAAATCAATTAAATGAAAAAATAAAATTTACATGATCATTACAATAGATACAGAAAAAGTATCTGACAAGATTTAGTACCCTTTAATGATAAAAACACTCAGCAAACTAAGAATAGAAAGGGATTCCTCAACTTTACAAAAAGTACCTATGAAAAACCAACAACTAACTATGCACTTAATGGTGAAGGACTGACTGGGTGCTTTCCCTCTAAGATCAGGAACAAGACAAGCAAGTCTGCTGTTCACAAAGAAGTGCTGGTGAGGCTGTGGAGAAAGGGGAACAGTTTTGTACTCTTGGTGGGAATGCAGACTGGTGCAGCCACTGTGGAAAGCAGTATGGAGATACATCAAAATATTAGAAATGGGGGCTGGGAGGATAGGGGGAGGAGGGATTGAACAAAAACAAAAAAGGACTCATAAACATGGACAACAGTGTGTTGATTGCTGGGGGGGCAGTTATAAGGAAACTAAATGGTAATGGGAAATAAATACAATAAAGATTAAAAATTAATTAATTAAAAATAGATCTGCATTTTGAGCAATCCCACCTCTGCAAATATATCCGAAGGAACCCAAAACACTAATTCGAAAGAACATAGGCACCCCTATGTTCATTGTAGCATTGTTTATAATCACCAAGACATGGAAGCAGCCCTAGTGTCCATCAGTAGATGAGTGGATAAAACAAGCATGGGGCATTTACACAATGGGATACTACTTAACAGTAAAAAAAAAAAAGAACAAAATTTTACCCTTTGTGACAGTATGAATGGATCTGGAGAACATTAAGTGAAATAAACCAGTCAGAGAAAGACAAATACATGATTTCACTCATATGTGGAATCTAGTGAACAAACTCAACTAACAAGCAAAATAGAGAGAGACACATAGAGCAGGATGACAGCTAAGGGTGAAGGGAGCAAAAAGAAAAAGGACTCGTGGATATGGACAAGAGCATGATGATGGGGTGGAGGGTATAAGGGGATTAAATGGTAATGGAAAATATATGATATAAAAAATCCTGCTGTCCTCCCTTCTGTTCAACATTACACGGGGGTTCTAACCACAAGAATGAAACAAAAGACATCCAGATTAGAAAAGCAAAAATAATTCTATCTGCAGATGACATGATCTTGTATAGAGAATGTGCCCCCCCAAACCATTAGAATTAATGAGCAAGTTCAACAAGCTTTCAGGATATAAGATCAATACGCACAAATCAGGCTGTGCGACCTCCCAGCCCTGCTCCCGGTGCTAAACGCAGACACGCCGCAAGGTGGCAGGAGTCTGAGTTTGCCTTGGAGGCCGGGGCGGGGGGGGGGGGGGGGGTTGCGGGGGGCGGGGGGGGGGATGGCGTGGGGCGGGCGCAGTGTGCACTTTCCCAGCCAAGCGGGCTAGGCTAGGCTTGCGGGCTGTGCTGCCTCTGCTGACTTAAATACTGCAGCTGTGGGCGCCCCTGCGCGGTCGTGCGTACTCCTTCCACCACAACCTCTTCCTCTTCTGCCGCCGGCCTGCTGCTGCTCAGGCCCGTGCGTTTTAAGAAATCAGCTACGGAAGGAAAAATTATTTATTCACAGGAGGATCCTCCTCCAGAGACGGAAGAATCCGTGTGCCATCAGTTCAAGTCCGGGGCTCCATCTCTGCAGGGTTTGTGGCTGTTCAGGCCCCAAGATGTGCTCTGGATGTTACCAGGCACATCTCTGCAGTAAGGAGCACCAGACTCTGGACTGGAGATCGCAGCATATGCAGGCTTGTAGACAGTCAGATAATTTGGACAATAGAGTTCCAGACCACGACTTCCTTCTTCCAGAATTTGAAATCGTCACAGAAACAGAAGATGAGATTACACCTGAAGTTTCAAGGACGGAAAGGTGAAGTGGAGATTATAGGAAGCATGGGTGAAGCACCTGAGGAAGAATTGGATTCCACGGCAAAATGTGAATCCAGGGAAGATAAATTTTTCCAGAAGTTTAAAACTAAAATAGCCCTGGAACAAGGACAGATCTTAGATAAGACAGAGTGCTTGCCCCCATCTGTATCTCTGGTGAAAACACCCCCTGAGAAAACGATATGCTGGCGGTACATGTATTTGAATTCCAGGACATGTCTCAGCTGGTCAACTACCTAAAGGCTGACAGACTGAGCCGGAGTGTCCTGACTGGCTTCATCTGTGCTGAAAGCTGCAGCCTGGGCACTCACTGGCTACACAGAGGAGTTTGTTTGGAAGCCGGATGTTAACAGATACACCATGAAAACAATCTCGTAAAGCCTTAAAAATGCTCGTAATCTCTTAGACCTTGCAATTACATTTTTAGGACTTTATCCTAAGGAAATAATTATACCAGAGAGAGAGGTACAAAGATGTTGTTTTAGGTACTGTTTCCTATGTCTAAATATTAAAACAAAAATGCCCAGTAACAAGGAATTACATAAATTTTGGTGTATCTGTCCAGTGGAAGGCTATGCAGTTTTAGTGATGCCAGCCTGTATGCACACCCAATAAGGTACAGACCTGAATTCACACGAAGACGTCATTATAGATGAATTCCTAGTATAATTGTGTATTTTTTAAAAATATTTGAACATAATGCATGTGCACAGAAGGAAATCAGGAAAGATACATACTAGGTGTGAACTGGTTAACTGAATGGTAGGCTAAGTGAAATGATTTTTTATGTATATATTCCTTCAATAAAAATGGGTTACATGCTTAATTAAGTAAAAAAATCAATATACAAAAGTCAATTTTATTTCTACACACTTGCAATGAACAGTCTAAAGTGAAATCAAGAAAACAATTCCATTTACAATAGCATCAAAAAAATAATACACTTAAGAATAAATTTAACAAAAGGAGTATAAAGTACTGTGGTACTGGCACAAGGATAGACATGTAGATCAATAACATGGAAGTAAGGGGCCAGAAATAAAATCATATGTATGTCGTCAACTGATTTTTGGCAAAAGAGTGCTAAGATTATTCAATAGGGAAAAAATAGTTCTTTCAACAAATGATGCTGGGACTACTGATTTCCACACGCAAAAGAGTGCAGTTAGCCCTGGCCAGGTAGCTCAGCTGGTTAGAGCATCCTCCCTACCTACCAAGGTTGTAGGTTTGATTTCCTGTCAGGGCACAAACAAGAAGCAACCAAATGAATGCATAAATAAGCCTATCTCTCTCAAAATCAATAAATTAAAAAAAAATTTAAGAGCACAGTTAAACCACTACCTCACACCATTAAAAAAAACAAAAACACCTCAAAATGGCTCAAAGACCTAAATGTTAGAACTAATCCGTAAAATTCTTAGAAGA